CCCGGAGGGGCCCAGCCCGCCACCGGCGGCCCGGCCTCCTCCCCCCGCGGGCCGTGCTGCCCCGCTGGCGCGCCGCGAGCCCAGCATGGGGGGCAGCCGCTAGGGAGTCCCCTGCTGCCATGCAGAGTCCCGCTGCCCGGCCTGGGTGAGGGGCCTGCAGCAGCTCCTGGCAGAGAGACCCTGGGCCCGAGGGAAAAGGTGCTGCCTCCATCCAGCAGGAGACAGTCCTGCCCCACTCCGTTCCCCCTTGGGTAGGGGCCAGCTCCACCTGCTGTTTGGCCCTGACACCAAGCCAGTGCCTGGGCCATGTTCCCGCGCCCCCTGGCCCCGGTGGCAGTGTGGGGTGCAGAGATGGGAGCCACCTCCGTGCGCCGGGCCGTGGTGCCTGCCAGGATGCGGGGTGGCAGTGGCACCATGCTGTTGCCCTCCATGCTCATGTTTGGGGTGATTGTGGCTTCCAGTGGCCTGCTGCTCATGATTGAGAGGGGCATTTTGGCACAGGTGAAGCCACCACCACTCCATCCCCCACATGGAGACCTTGCTTGGAGGAGCAGCGGTGACACCAGGGCAGTGGTCTCCGAGGACATGGATTACCAGGTGCTACAAGATGTTCGTAACCGGACAGTCCGCACCATGTGTGGACAAAAGAACATGCCTCATAGCATCTGGGAGCTTTCAGCAGGTCAGAGGAAAACCGTGCTCAGACACATCCTGGTGAGTGATAAATATCGCTTCTTATATTGCTACGTCCCCAAAGTCGCCTGCTCCAACTGGAAACGAATACTGAAAGTTTTGGATGGAGCGCTGGAGAATGTGAATGTCAGGCTCAAAATGGACCACAAGAATGACTTGGTTTTTCTCGGTGACATGAAGCCAGATGAGATCAGCTATAGGCTAAAGCACTACTACAAGTTTATATTTGTTCGAGACCCGATGGAGAGACTTTTATCAGCTTATAGGAATAAATTTGGAGAGATCAAAGAGTACCAGTTAAAATATGGTGTGGAAATAGTAAAAAGATACCGAAAAAGCCCCAGAAAGTCCATGGGGGATGATGTCACCTTTTCTGAGTTTCTCCAGTACCTGTTAGATGAAGAGGCAGAGAGAATGAACGAACACTGGATGCCCATCTACAACCTATGCCAACCCTGTGCGGTGAGGTACGATTTCATCGGATCATATGAAAGACTGAATGTGGATGCAAATTACATTCTTGAACATGTTCAAGCACCTTCTTTTATCCGTTTCCCAGAACGACAATCATGGTATAAGCCTGTGACTCGGGAAACTCTACATTACTATCTGTGTAACACTCAACGTGGACTTATAAAAGAACTGTTACCAAAATACATTCTGGATTTCTCATTGTTTGCCTATCCTCTTCCAAATATTACTAGTGAATTTTGCAGACAGTGAACTTTTTCTATTTGTGGGCTGGTCTATGCTAGAAACTTATGCTGATAGAATAATGTTGTGCAACATTTTTATACTGGGAGAAGCTCAAGTGTAAACAGTTGTAGTGGCATAAAAGTACTTTTGCTGGTGTAGATTATTTCACTCAATAACCTGTATAAATTCTACTGGCAAAAATACTTTTATGCCAGCATAAACTGCGGCTACACTAGGAGGGTTTGCTGGTATAGCTACATTGGCAAAAGCTACGTTTTTCTAGTGTAGATGAAGCCTGTGAAGTAATGTGTGTCCTATGCACGTTTCCTAATTTTATACTTTTTAAACCTTTTAAGATATCATATGATATATAGCCTTTACAACTAGAATATCTTTTACCTTTGTATTGTTCCAATTTTACTATGTCTGTGTGCCGCTGAGTTAAGCACAATAGCTTTTATATATCTGATTTTTAAAAACTTCTCTCTACAGCACAAGACAGTGAATATATGCAAAAGAATCAGGGAATGGATATATTTTAAGCACAAAGCATTGTTCTGTTTTTGTGGTCCAGGGCCTGGTCCCCACTTAGTCCGGACTTCGGACTAAGGTACGCAAATTCAGCTACGTTAATAACGTAGCTGAATTCGAAATACCTTAGTCCGGACTTACCGCGGTCCAGACGCAGCAGGAAGTCTCCCCCCGTCGACGCCGCGTACTCCTCTCGGCGAGCTGGAGTACCGGCGCCGACTGTGAGCACTTCCGGGATCGATTTATCGCGTCTTACCCAGATTATGATATCCATAATCTTCACACTTGTTGAGTGCATCTAAAGCTGACAAGTCAATTCTTGTTCTGTGATGTAGCAGTGCCTGGGTTGTGGAGTATTTTATTTCAGTATTGAACCAATGTCGTATTCATAGAAAAAGTTAATGTGTTCCTCTTGATACAAGATGTTAATTCAGAGACAATACACTGTTCATTTTATTTTGTGTGATTAAAGATCTGAGAGTACCAATTACTTACATAGCGAAACTAACATTTGGTGCAGCAATGTATTTATTACTAACAAATTCTTCTTTTGTCCCTCTTTTTTTAAAAAGTTATTAAAATCAAGAGCTTCTCAGCCCTTGTAACAAAATTTAGAAAATAGCTTTTAGTGGTTATTTACAGCCTATGGAGAAAAAACAAGAAAAAATGCTTTATGCAGCTGCATTTGACGCTACTGTAAGTAAATACTCAGTTCTGCTTTTTATATGTGCATGACATTTTCATAGCTATTTATATGTAAGAATTATGATTCAACTTTAAAAGTGTGGATGATAATGTTCAAATTTGTTCATGACAGTTTATATAGTAGCTGCATTTTTAATACAATTTATATATACATTATTCTGTGGCTTGGTGCTTTTCTTTTAGCCATGGATTGTTGTTGTTCTTATTATTTATTTGTATTACAATAGCAGCATTGCCCCATTGTGCTAGGCACTATACAAACATAACACAGGGGTCGGCAACCTCTGGCACGTGGCTTGCCAGGGTAAGCTTATCCTGGCGAGCCGCGTGCCAGAGGTTGCCGACCCCTGATATAGCAAATAAACAGTCCCTGTCCTGAAGAACTTACAATCAGAGAGTAAGACCAAAGAGAACAAACAGGTGAATAAAACACAGATGAGGGGGAGAACAAGGAAACAATTAGATAATAGTAGTCAGCATGAAAAGCATTGGATACAGCAAACCATATGCCTAACCATTGTCCAGTTAACTTAGAGTGATGTAGATAGATGTTAAGATACATCATACAGTTTTTTATTTCCTGCAAGTACCTTTTTGTAATGTGACAGGCATTTTAAAAAATGTTCTTTATAACTTTTTAAATACTGCCACCTCTGTAGCTAGATGCACAAGATGTGTTAATATTCACTGTACATATATGGCATGTCTCCTAGCAGTGTGGCCTATAAGGCTGTCCAAGGGAAGTGGTATCAGCCCACATTTCAAGCAAGCAAGCCTGGACAAAAGCACTAGGATATATACTGTGAGGAACAAGCCTGCACAGGAAATTAACTAAGTGACCTAAGAGCTTTCTATATTTTGACATTTTATGGGAGAAATCTGCCTATGCTGAAATCAAAGGCAAAACGCCCATTGACTTCAATTGAATTCCACTTTGAATTGAATTCCACCTTGGCTGGGTGACAACAGTGACCAATACATCAGGGCCGGCTCTACCATTTTTGCTGCCCCAAGCAAAAACAAAAAAAGTGGCTCGGACTGCTGCCACCCGAACTGCCGAAGCACAAAAAACAATAAAAAAACTGCTCGGACTGCCACCGCCCGAACTGCCAAAGCAGGGGGGGGAAAAAACCAACGCTCGGACTGCCGCCACCCGAACTGCCAAAGTGCCCCCCCAAAAAAAAAAAGCTGCCCGGACTCTGCCGCTCCAAGAATGGACAGAATGCCGCCTCTTAGCATGTGCAACCCCAGGCACGTGCTTGCTCCGCTGGTGCCTGGAGCCAGCCCTGCAATACATACATATATTTCAAAATACTAGCTGTAGTCCCTCCCTCTAAATCTACTCTGTTTTTCTTTACCCTGTTTGTTTGCCTGTCATATCCACATCCTTCAATCAGCTTGGCTCTCACAGATGTGGTTAAGTTGTAACCTTAGTTATTCCTGATGTCAAGTATCCGTGGGTAGCCGTGTTAGTCTGTATCTACAAAAACAACAAGGAGTCTGGTGGCACCTTAAAGACTAACAGATAGTTAGTCCTTAAGGTGCCATCAGACTCCTTGTTGTTTTTGTAGTTATTCCTGAGACGCTCCATTGACTTCAGTCGGAATGCACAAATGTGATGGATGATAGAATCTGGATCTTGGTGTTGGAATTTATCAAAACTTCTAGAAATGTCTGGATCATTCCTCAGATAAAGGCAGCAGATATTAGTCAGGAGTTTTTGTAAAATGGGTGTAAATGATGGAGAAAGCAAGTGTAATTAATTTTGATCTCTGAATTTATGTAATTGAATACACTGGATGGAACTTACTCTTCCTCTCCCCCCCCATTCTATACCTACATCTATGAAGGCTGGGGGATTAAAAAAAAATGTTCTCTTGTTTGGGTTTTTGCTTTTTACTAAAAATTAATTTAAAATAGTTTTAAAGGTTTAAAATGCTTGTTGGCTGCAGCTTCCCCTGTCTAGACAAGATTTGGTTTCTGCCCACAGAAGGATCAGTGTTTTGCTTTTCTTTGAATCTCAATCTCCTGTGCGTTTGTTCCTGTGCATGTTATCAATCCCCTTTTTTCCATTTAAGCCAAGAAAATTACCCCCCCCCCACCCCTCAAATTTTTTTTCTATGTTAATGCAGTCAGGAAATTCAAAGTTTGTTACTCACAGCATGAGCATAATTCTGCCACTGAATGTGCTATAAAATATACACAGATATGCAAAATGCTGCATAAATTTAAGGAAGACAAGTTATGGTTGCTGTGATAAGCCAAACTTGATTTCCCTTACTTTGTCAGGATTGCAGTCTGTGCTGGCATTATTGATTCTGTTTGCTTTTAATTCAGCATACTGCAAACTGTGGTCACCTGATCACAAAAGTGAAGAATCAGTCAGTATTCAATTAATAATACTTCCTGGTCCTGTTGTCCAAGGTTTTTAAGATTTCCTGAAGCTTTTTTGGACAACTAAGAACAAAAACATAAGCTCCTTCTGCCTGCTCCATGGCTTTCTTTTGTCAGGTGTTTCTTTGCTGCAAATTAAATCATGATCAAATGTTGTAAATGATATCAAAATAGTAGGGGTAGCAAACACAGAGGAGGCTAAAATTAAGCTGCAGGCAAACCTGGAAAGACTAAAGCTGTGGAGGATGCAAGTAACAAGGGGGGCTGTGGTGCTAATAGAAGTAAAACTGTCACCAGCTAAGTTCCAAAGGGAGAGGACATAACCAATTAGCCACTAACTGCTTTAGTGTGTTCAGTTTGTTTTAAATGTTTCTTCTTTCTGGCACTGTTCTAAATTGGCAGGATTAAATAGCTGGTTGCTCCTCATTACTTTCAGTAGTGGTGTTTGTTTCTTCTTCTTCCTCCTACCTCACTCCTTGCACTCATCAAGCACAATAAAAAGCTATCATTTCTATTACTAATTATTTCTTTGTTTAACCTGAAAAATGTACTTAGTGTTGCACAATACACAAAAAGAAACAGCTCTCATCTGCCCTAAAGATCTTACAATCTAAAAAAACTTTTCTTAGTAGAATAATTAGACAGATATTTTAAAAAGAGACAGATTAAGTAACAAGACACTAGAGAGACGAGTGGGAAAGAAATTGCTCAGATCAGAAAAGGCCCTGCAGTAAGGACAAGTCTAAACTGGCTTCTTGTCGAGAACCAGTCTATCTCAGCAATGAAATGTAACGAAAGTATGAACATGGCCCCTTGAATTCTGCAGCGCTGCAGTTCCACTTTTTGCAGTAAGGGAAAGGGAATTTCTGCATCAACAACTTGAATATGCTGTACCCCCTCTAGCTATAATAAGCATTAATCAGAGTCTCATAATACAAGAGTCAAGAGGAGAGAAAAGAGAAGTTGTGCAACATAGTTGCCAGATTTTCACTAGTTTTTATGACTGGTACTGAACTCAGCTATCTCTAGAACATCAGCTAGCTATGGGTGTGGAGCATGAAGTGAGCGTGACATGCCATCCTACAGACCTTTTGGCCTGATTCTCCCCTTACACCAGTTTTAGTTCCTGATCCTGCAAATTGCTTTGCATAAGCAGATCCTTGTGCAGCCAGCTTGCAGGATCAGGATCTAAATTGGGAATAAAATTCTGATCCAACACTCACTGAAGTCAATCAGAGTGTTTTCATTTTCTTCAATGGGTACTGAATTGGGCTTTAACTTCATTGAAGTCAATAGAGTTATTATACAGTACCATTGTAAAACTGGTGTAAGTAAGTGGAGAATGGGGTCCCTTGTGAGGACGAGGAATTGTGAAGTCACTGACAACTAGTGAAATTCCATTTGTGCCTGCAGACAGAACTGTTTGGTCTTAAGTGTACTCTAGAGGCAGGAAAACCAGAGGATGTGTTTACACATTCTAAAATGGGATTTGGTGCCAACCATGCATTTTGACACACCTTCAGCACACAGCACAAGTTCTAAATGCTGATGCAAGTTCTAAATTGTTCCAAGTTCCAAACACATCCAGTGCAGCTTGCACTGGGAAATGAGTAGGAATAGGAATCTCCTGGAAGTCTTTGTTCTCATTGACTTGGCCAGATTTGAACATCTAGATGGTTGTAGCTGGACCAGGGATACTATGGAGAAAGTGAGTTTCAGCAGGGATGGTTTGAAAAATCTTCGAAAAATAGGTTGAAGAAATCAATGGTGCGTGACAGCTGGAAAGATTGTAAACCGCCTATACTGTCACCATAATCTAATCACAAGAGATTGCTTGTGGAGTTGCAAATTCATGTTCCAAATCTATCCTAAAATTATGGAGGCATCTTCTCATCCTAAAAGAGCAGGAAGTAGTGGTGTGTTTCCATCTGTCTACTACAGGGGTCGGCAATCTTTGGCATGCGGCTCGCCAGGGTAAGCACCCTGGCGGCCTGGGCCGGTTTGTTTACCTGCCGCATCCGCGGGTTTGGCTGATCACGGCTCCCACTGGCCACGGTTCTCCACTCTGGGCCAATGGGGGCAGCGGGAAGCGGCGGCCAACACATCCCTTGGCCCGTGCCGCTTCCCGCTGCCCCCATTGGCCTGGGACGGCAAACTGCAGCCATTGGGAGCTGCGATCGGCCTAACCTGCGGACGCAGCTGGTAAACAAACCAGCCCAGCCCGCCAGGTTGCTTACCCTAGCGAGCCGCATGCCAAAGGTTGCCAACCCCTGGTCTACTACATTCCTCTTACCTAATACTTTCTAATTCTGTAATCATAAGCCCCAGTCCTGACCGCCCTCTGAGAAGTTTGCATGTTTTGCATATGGAAGTATTCAAAGATAAGTAGACACTATCTTCCCGGTGTAATGTGGTTTACCAGTTTATATGTTTGTGTTTTAATATATGCATAATTGTAATAGGTAAATTAGTGTTTGTTGTTAATGAGGTGCTTAATGCAATTGTTTAATGAAGGAACTCCGGGAATAAATGGTCACCCATGGAACTAGCTCAACTGACTGCTTAGAATTTTTGCACGCTCACAGACTGTATAAGGGTTGCGCACATGGATGTCAGGTGCTGTCCGTTAGAGAAGCAGCGGAGTACCTGTTAGGTCTGTGTCGAGGACATCCTTCGTCGGTTCCTGATCCTTCCAATGATAAAAAGGCTTCTAGCATCGAGTCTTACCTGGTTCCAGCTGTTGTGGTTCCTGGGTCCAGTCATCCACGAAGGCTCTGTGCTCCTCCTGCTTCTGGCCATGCCAGTCCAGGTCCGGCAGTCGAAGGACCAGAGTCCTGCGATCCCTAGCAACTGAAGCAGGTACTTACCAGCAACTTCTGATTCCAGTCCATCACCTGACGTGAAACAGTTCTGGGGCGTCTTTTTGTTAGTTTGTTTTATTTAGGTTATTTAGGCCAAAGGTTAGTATTGGGCCTGGGCTTTAAGCCTACTTTGGGGGCAATCACAATTGTTGTTGTTTTAAGGTTTTATGCATTTATTCTTCCCTTTTCCCTATTTTTGTTAATTATCCCAATTAAACTATTTCTTCTGTTTTCGAAGCACGACATTCTCTGTCTTTCTTTAGTTCTTTAACTCAGAGGACGGTGAGAGAAGGGTTTAACTGATACTGATAGCCAGGTAAAGGACCTGGCCCCTATTACTGGGAAATAGTATAACACCAGGGATGCCAAATAAACTCATCAGATCCCACAAACTTGCTCAAGGCACTGAATTAAAGGCCTGATGGAAGTGTACAAAAAGTGCTCTGCACAACCTATTAAATTCAGCCGTCTTCTGAAAAAGCTGTCTCACGGTAAAAATCTGATTGACAGTGGAATGACCTAGTCTAAAGCTGCACTGAGTATCCTGGCCTTTGCCACAAAGTGCATCATTGACTTGGGACATTAACACGGAAGCAAAGATTTCCCCTGGGATTGACAAGTAGCAACTATAGAAGCATGATGCTAATTTGGCCTTATCGCTCTTTTTGAACAGAGGATGAATAACCTCCTTCTTCTTCTGGTCATCAGGGTTGATATTAGTATGCCAGATGATCTGGAAGAATCTATGCAACCATGGTACTACAATACCATCATCTGTCTTCAGCAACTCTGTGGTAATGTTACAAACCCCTGATGCTTGCCCAGACTTCTGCTTATGGACTGCGATCCTGTTCTCTCCTTGTTTGAAGGAAGGTTGCTCTTCTGGAACTTCCTGCCCTCCTCATATGGAAGAGCGACTGCAGTCGATGGACAATGGAAGAGCATCTTGAGAGGATCTTCCCATTGATGCAGCTGATCTTGCAGACTCTGGCTGATGCTGCCATCCTGATTCTTTAATGATCAAGTTGGTTCCACCTTCCTTGCCAACACTGCAAAGATGGCTAGGGACTGCAGAGATCGTGCCTAGTGGCAGCCTGTTCTGAACTGACTGCCTGAGTTGACCACCAGGATTCCTTATCTTTTTTACACAATGACTTGACAATGTTCCGAAGTCAAACCTGTTCAGCCTTTACTTTTGCTCTCAATAAATATTTTGTTGAAGATGCAGATTGTAGCCTTGCAGGTTTCTTAGGTGCCTCTGCTGTAAATGTCTCTTCACTGATCCATGGTTGACATTTGAAGGGCTGAGGCCCCAGCACTGAGTTGGCAATGATGATCTAAGATCTGATAGGGTGCCTGGAATAGTGTCACAGGCAGAGGAGCTCTATAATGGAATGGAAAGCTGCATTCAAGTCAATGGCAGTTATACAGCCTGGGTTCCTGTCTCCATGGGAGTTTGGTAAGGCTGTGTTCTGTTGCCATCATTGTTCAATATCTGTGCTGATTGGTTGGTAGATAAACTTAAGGATGCAGCTATTGGTGGTGCTGAGCTGAACATTCTGCTTTGAGATCTCAAATATACTAATGACATTGTCTTGTTGGTTCAGTTTGCTCAATCTCTGCAG